AATTTTGGTTCACGAGATTCACCGCCATAAGGAGCCACCTTAATTTCTATGCAAAATCAAATTATGCCATTGACCACGCGCCCTGCCCAAGAAGGACAGTTTTTTGGGAGTGGCCTATCTGACATATTTTGGTCCTCGCTTTCCTCTGAGGACATAAGCTCCACGGCATTTTCCAACTGTTAGAGTGCACTTATTTTTTACTTTGTCCTGTGGGGAGAGAGTGGATTTTTTCACCATTTCTTGATGATATGCCAATGTCTGAAGACCAAGAACACAGGAATATCATGCATTGTTACTGGTTTAATTAGTTATTCCGCTTTTACTTGCAACTTCGACAATATAATGCAGTTTTTTGCTAGATCGTAAGCAGAGTTTGTAACGGACTAGATGAACGTTCGGCCTTTGTACCACCACGACTCCGACGCTTGTGAAAACTGGCGTTGAAAGTGGTAGATATATGTCATGATTCGAATCATCCCTTTGGAAAGCCAAATCACATATTGCAATTGGTGTGGAGGGAAAACTAAATATAATGGCCCGTTTTTGTTAACAATTGTCGTCTTTAATAGTAAGCTAAAACTGTTAACGACTGTCTTGTTCAGGATGGCCACAATGGAAATGAATTGCAATTTTAAACATTTGGCTCATTTTTTTCACGTGTCTTGGAAAATAGATATTTCTTGGCAATAGTTTGTTTCTCCTTAAGAAAGGATTTTAAATTTTTCTTTGGACCAGTGATTTTAACATAATTTTGACCAATAACCCACGAAATCCTGTTGTCGTAGTCCCTTAAATATAAGAATACAGTGTACGTCAATTTTTAGTTTTCTAGTTACTGTAATTAAACTATGATTTTTATTGTGAAAGTAGCCCACCCATCTCACTCTCAGTAGGCGTCTTGTCATGATCCTGTGCTCCTGAAGTTTTCCATTCTTCCTTCTTATGGCATCATCCCGGATGCTCCGCCAGTACTTAAAAATTGCCGCTGGAAAATTTAGGAAATGGGGTGAATATATGCTATTATCTTGTGTGAAAAAGGATTATTTCACAAAGTAGTTAAAGTAAGCACACTTCATATTTTTTTATACTGTGATAAAGCAATCCAGTTATTTGAGGGCACACCTGGGAAATGCAAGCAATGATAGCCTACACTTTCTACTCGTCCCCTGTCTAAATGTACAGTATATGTATCTTGGTTACTAGAACAACGTATACATACCTTTTATCTCTGCCTTGACCCATTTTTTTTCCGAGATTTCCTCGCACTTCTTTCGTAAGTAATTCCTCCACTTTCTTATTTCCATCATGGTCATACCTTAAAAGGTTAAACAACAGAAAAACTGGGTTAAATATGAAAATAACGATTTCTCGCCTCAAGTGTTATGTCATGCCTAGTGCCTTTGATGACAGTTCTGTACTGGTTGAAATTGTTTTCATTCAAATATAGAAATAGATAAACAGATTCGGTTCTGTCCACTCAAAGATTGGCGGCTCTACTTAAGTAAATGGATGTTGTTCAAACTACAGTTGTATCTAAAATATTTTCTAATTGTGACCTTTCACATGAATAAGTTGAATGACATCTTTTTATCAAAAATACAACAAAAATATAAAAATGTTTTTTTATCTTCTTCTCCCAGACGGATAAACAGCTATATCCCGCAGATAACAAAAACAGATTTTCTAATTACAGTCTTCCTCATGAATCAATAGGAAAATGGCCACTAATTTATCAAAAATTTAACAAAAAATAGGAGATCATTAACACACACAAGCACCATTTTTTCCACTCATAGATGGATAAACAGCCTTGGCAAAAATATAAAAAATGTTTTTTTTTCTTCTTTTCCTAGACGGATAAACAGCTATATCCCGCAGATAACATAATATTTTCTAATTACAATCTTCCTCATTAATGAATAGGAAAATGGCTATTAATTTATCAAAAAATATTACAAAAATAGGAGATCATTGACACAAGCGCCATTTTTTCCACTCGAAGATGGATAAACAGCCTTGGCACTAGCCACTTAGAGATGGGCGGCCCTACTTGTGTTAATGAATGTCCCGCCCACTATGAAAAATATTCCCTAACTGCAATCTTCTACATGGATAATTTGAAATGTCATTTTATCAAAACTTTAACAAAAAATAGGAGATCATTGACACAAGCGCCATTTTTTTCCACTCAAAGATGGATAAACAGCCTTGGCACTGCCCATCAGAGATGGGCGGCCCTACTTGGGTCAATGAATGCCCTGCACACTAAAAAAAATTCCTATTTACAATTTTCTACATGAATCATTTGAAAAATGTCACATCAAAAATATAACAAAAATAGAAGACCATTAACAGGGCTGAAACCTGGCGGTCGCTAGGTCGCAGGTGGCGACTTAAAATGTAGCTGGACGATGATAGTGGTTGATAAGATTGGTCTAAGATAAAAAAAAATATAAATTCAGCCCGATGTAAACTTATATTACGATTGCAGGTACGAACTTAAAATAAAAATATAACGACAAGTTGTTTAGTTGGACTACCTTTCTATCTTTACCCTTAATCTAATTGCTCCGAGTCCTATGAACATTTTATTGTTTTAAATGGGAAAGGATTAAACCGATCCGTGAGACGCCATTTTGATTTTTCTCACGTGACTCAAGTCTTACGCATAGTACTTTGCTGTCTGCTTTCGTCGCTCCCGCTTCCTTGGCAGCTTTGGAATACTAAATCAACTGGAAAAGACCGGTAAAATGTGTAGATTTATCTCTGATTGTGAGCAGCCTCGAAAGAAAAAAACGCGACACAAAAAATAGGAGGTCATTGACAGAAGGGCCATTTTTTCCACTCGAAGATGGATAAACAGCCTCAGCACTGCCCACTCAGAGATGGGCGGCCCTACGTGGGTCAATGAATCTTCCGCCCACTATCAAAATATTCCCTTATTGCAATCTTCTGCATGAATCATTCATTGAAAAATATCATTTTATCAAAATTTAACAAAAAATAGGAGGACACAAGCACCATTTTTTCCACTCAAGGATGGATAAACAGCCTTTGCACTGCCCACTCAGAGATGGGCGGCCCTACTTGGGTCAATGAATGTTCTCCACATTTTCAAAAAAAATTCCTATTTGCACTCTTCTACATGGATCATTTGAAAAGTATCATTTTATCAAAAATATAACAAAAATAGAAGATCAACTTATAATTATTTACTTATTAATCAGATTACCACTAAAAGTGGCAGGGCAGCTCGGATAGAAAGCCATGGGGCTTATTCTATTCAGGCTACCCATTTACAAACAAAATTCTAGGTTATTTAATTATACTAAATGGCAAGAGTAAGCTCAGTATAAGTAATAAGGTTAAGAGGCAGAATTATCAATCAACAATATCAAATTAATTTAGGGTGTCTAATTATTGATTCAAATTAATAGTTCAGAAAAAAGAAAATTCTAGTTAATAATAGTCTAAAAATTAAGTAGGAAAAGAGTAAAATAAACACAGACACAGACAAAAGAAAAACTAGGCTATACAAAATATTATTAATCAACAACATAGAAATAATTAGGACAGATTAGCTAGTTGGACTAAAAATCTATGTAAGTTCTTTCTAAAGACATTTTTTGAAGATTCGTCTTTGAGTTCAGCAGGGAGGGTATTCCAAAAATTTGGGCCTTGATATGCTATGGTAAATTTCCTAAAATTGGTTCTAGAAAATTGAGATCTGTAATTCATGGCATTTCTTGTATTATAAGAATGAAGTTGAGAACTAGACAAGAACATACCATGGAAGCTTACTGGAAGTAACTTATAATTATTCTTAAAGGAAAACATAAACAAGCTGATCTGTAGCATATAGATATTACTTAAGTTAAGAAAATTATGCTCATAGAATAATGGAGCACTGGGGGCATCAAAACAGGACTTGGTGATTACTCTTATGATACGTTTCCGCAATACAACAAGTCTGTTTAAGGTAGTTTTATACGTAGACCCCCAAACAATGGTTCCATATTGCAGGTAAGGATAGACAAGGGAAAAATATAGGGTACACAACGATGGCATAGAAAGGCAGAATCTGCACGGCTTTTGTTATAATACCAATAGATTTAGAGACCTTATTGGCAATTAAGTTAACATGTTCTTTCCAGTTTAAATTCTCATCAACATAGACATCTAGAAATTTAGTATTTGACTTACGTTCAATAGTTTCCTTGTTTATTCTTATATTAAAAAGCACAGAGGGTAATTGTTTTCGGCGCACCTTAAAAAAAAAGTCGGTTTTCTTTATGTTTACTGTGAGTTTAATTATTAGCCATCAACCAATTAGACACTTTCTCAAGTTCAGAATTTAAGATATCTTGTAACATATTGAAATCAGCATTTGAGAAAAGGACATTGGTGTCATCAGCAAATAGTATACACTCAAGTAAACTTGATGAGAGATGGATATCAGTAATGTAGAAAAGGAAAAATAAAGTACCAAGGATAGAACCCTGTGGAACACCTCATTTAACTGTCAGATACTCAGAAGCCACACCGTTACATTCAACATACTGTTTTCGATCAGAGAGGTGACTACACGTCCATTTAAGAGCAAGACCCCTTATACCATAGTGTCCAAGCTCGTTAATTAAAATTGCCTGGTCAACTGTATCAAAAGCTTTAGACAAGTCTAAAAAAATGCCAGCACAGTACTCCTTGTTATCTACAGATGAGGAGATTTCATCAATAAGCTGCATGCAGCTAGCTGAATGAGAGTTAAACTGGTAGAATGTTGAGATCTAAAGCCATACTGATGCGAAAATAAAACATTATGTTTCTCGATAAAATCAATTAGCCTATTATAAACTACCTTCTCAAAAAATTTAGAAAAACAGGGCAAAATTGAAATTGGCCTATAATTACAAAATAGGGAAGAATTGTCAATTTTATAAACAGGAACAAGTCTTGCAATTTTGATCTTATCAGGGGCAATGCCAGTAGAAATAGACAAATTGATTAAGAAGCAAAGTGGGGTAGAAAAAAAAAATGGCATTGGATTTAGTATCAGACATACCACAAGCTTTCCCAGTCTTAAATGAGGTAGCCAGTCTCTTAATTTCCACAGTGGAAACTGGATTAAGAAAACAAGATTCAAGTATCTGGTTCCCTAAAAAACCCCGATATGAGAAGGCTGAATTAGGAATCTTCTTAGCAAGAGTAGGACCTAAGTTGGTAAAATATTCACAAAATTTATGAGCAATGACACCGGGTCCTTGATTTCTCGTTGACCATCTTTAAAAAGTTTAGCGATTGGTGATTTAATTTTACGCCTGTTGATAATAGTGTTCAAAAATTTCCAGACAGCTTTTAGATTGTTCTCGGTTGATTCAATTTTACAATCATAATAACTGCATTTAGATATTTTTAAAAGATGGTTAATTTTATTTCTATATTGTTTATATTGAACATATGATTCAGTGAGGATAGATTGCGTAAGAGAGCATTGTACAATTTACTTTTGGTCTTGATAGACTTAAGCAAACCTTGAGTTATCCAGGGTTTAGTTAACAGTTTAGACTTCCTTTTTGACTTTAAGGAGAAAGGAAAACATAAATTATAAATTTCATTATAAATTATGTAGAAATAAAGTAATTGTAGGCTTCATTGGGATCATGATACTGATATAAATTTATTTATTAATTGTCCCAATTAAAGTTTTCAAGTTCAGCCTGAAACTTATTTACATTCTCAGTGACGTCTAATTACCCTAGTTTTTGGACGTACTGATTTAGCCTGTGATAACAAAGTAAATATAGGTAAATGATCAGAGATATCGGTAAAAAAAAAAAAACAATTATGGCAGCATGAGGAAGGTGATTGGTAAAAATGTTGTCAATGAGAGTGGCAGTATGAGATGTAATTCGTGTCGGTTGTGAAATAAGTGGAAGGAAACTATGGGAAAACATACAGTCTAAAAACTTACTTGTCGAGGAATGTTGTTGGTATTTTAAAAGATCAAAATTAAAGTCTCCTAAGAGGTAACATGATTTAGGCTCCTTAGAAATTTTAGCTAACAGTTCACTCACCTTGGACATAGTTTTAACAGGATCTGTTCCAGGAGGCCCATAGATAACTCCAACAATAATATTCCCTTGATGGGGCTGATCAATTTCTAGAAGTACAGATTCTAAAATTTCAGGTTAAAAAAAACTTAAATCATCCCTTGCTGTGTGTTTAATAGAGCTGTTAACAAAGATCCCAACTCCACCTCCATGTTTATCCGCCCGGCATTTATGATGAAAGCTATAACCGTCAATATGAACACCATCTGGATTACTCGTGAGCCAGGTGTCCGAAATACCTATAATAGAAAATCTATTGTCTAAGGTCGTAAGAAAGTCAGTTAATTCAGATAAATTATGTCTTATGCTTCTAGCATTGATATGCATAAGTGAGAAAAGCGAAGTCCAGGACTGGGTAATACTATTAAACTCATCTTGAGTATAGTAGTTGGAATCGCTGACCGAAAGAAAATGTTGATCTGGGTCTAAATCATAGGAAGGGCCTGTGAAATTATTAGCAGTGATTGGGTTAAAGCTAAGGAAACCAAGACGCTCAGGATCATATATAACTCGTCCATGCATGAATTCATATATATATGACAAAGGAATCATCATCAAGATGATAACAAGGCAAATGACTCGGCAGTTCAGCTGAGAGTAAATTATTAGAGTACATCATTATCAATTAGAATAAATATAAAAGTGTGGTCCCAGAAAATATCCATACCCTCCCCCCCCCGCCCCCACGGAAGGGAGCGGATTTTCCAGGGGGGAGGGGGGTCAATTTGCCTAATTTTCCAGTGGGGAGGGGGGGGGTGGGTCACGGTAGGGAAATATTTCCAGAGGGTTTTCGTGACGCGTAAGAGAGTAACAAAGAAAAAACACAAAAATTTACTACGACAATTTATTTGCGAAAATATAAAACACGACGAAAGTTAAACAGCTACTAAACCTATGGATTAATGGACATAACGAACATATTTTGTCAGTCCCTTGGCGTGACCTCTCACGCGAAAACGTTCCTTACGGTTTGCCGTTTTCGAACGGATTTGGTATCCTGTTTGAACGGCTCGGGGTATCCGTTCAAAAAAAAATTCGTTCGAACGACTTGGGCTATCCGTTTGAAAAACTTTGTCATCCGTTCGAACGACTTGGACTATCCGTTTCAAAAAAGTTGTCATCCGTTCGAACGGCTTGGGATACCCGGCGTTGCTAAAACAAGAGTAAGGGTAACCCCAAGGGTGAGGGTGGGGGTGAGGGTGGCGGTGGGGGTGAGGGTGAGTTTAAGGGTAGGGTGAAGGCGTATGGAAACATAACTGTACCGATGATCATGCAGCTATCATTCATCCGTTACTCTTACTGGTTTTGTTAAGCACAGAAAAGAAATTTTCTCACAGAAATTGCGTTCTTTTGCGGACAAAGCCTAGGGAAAATCAAGAGTTGAGGAAGTCAAATTACCGGATTTTTGTCTACTGATCTCCCTCCCCTGGTCTGACCTCAGAGTTCTCATATTACTCTCCTCATGGAAACCAATTAGAGAGTAAACCTATTTATGGTAATCACGTGATCATGCAATCTTAGAACGTCCACAATCCCTCATTCCGAGCTGATATTTCTTGTGTACCAAGTATTATATTACACCAGTCCTACATCAGTTTCACTGATGTACTAACGGGTTTGATATTGTTCGCAATATCAATTCATACCCCCAAAATATCCCGACAATCTTTCAAATATGTTACATTTGGAGACGAGCAAACTGTACATCTAACACTCTCCCTTAAAAAATTCAAATGTATGGTCTTCAAACCGCGCCAAGTTCAACACGTACGAATTGTAAATTTCAAAGAAATATTGGTAATCAACGTCATGATTGTTCGAGTATAAAGGATACAATTTTTTTTGAGTAATTTTGCATGAAAATCTAAATTGGAATTCCCACAACTCGAACTTCTCGCAATTGAAATTTTGCCATTCGATTAGTTATATTTTCCTTTTTTTCTTATAATAGCAATCCCTCACCCTCACCCTCACCCCTACCCCCACCCCCACACCCACCCCCACCCTCTCCCTCACCCCCACCCTTACCATCACCCTTGGTGTTACCCTTACCCTCATTTTAGCAACGCAGCGACATAAGAGGTCATTTAACGATTAAATGTCAACATGAGGCCGAAAGATAGCTAATGGACAGGATAAAATTTATGTGTTCAGAAGTTTTTAACAACTTTTGTTTGCTTGAGTGTTCTTGTACTTCTAGTGCCGTAGCTGCGTACAGCTCTGAACTGAGACAATAGCTTCGTATACCATAAACTTTATTGACTTTATCTTCGACATGAAGATTTCAGTACCAAAACAATAACAAATGAAAAACGTAAACTAAAAGTTAAGTAAGAAAAAAAGGAACAATTGAATATTATCATAAAAGAAAAAATTACTTGGCTATGTACGGCTTCTACGCTACTCGTATGGTAAGAAAGTTCAATTAGAGTTCGGATGGATAACAATTTAGAATATTTTCAATATAAGAGGCACTGAGATTTAAGATGTTTTGATCGCACATAGACATGATATATAAAAATAGTGCCTTGCAAGACATATTTGTAAAATTAATGTTTCGAGTATAGGTTCTCCAAGAAGATACCCCTTACATGAGAAAGTGATGAGTGGGTACATTTCAACAAATAGTAGAATTCATAACCAATTTCGGATCTATTACAAAGGGGGCAAAGCCTCTCAACTCTGGGTATCTTCTTGTAGCGCCCAGATTCAATCAGCTGTTCAATAGGTAGCAAGTGGCAAGAAATTCGCATTTTGGTTACTGCCACTCTTGTCTTAACGTTTTTTATTAAATCAAGTAAGATTCAAATCTTACTTCGTTTTTCACTTCACTATACAGACTTAATTTATTGCCAACTGAGGAGTCGAATTTATCCTTGTTCAGACTTTTCGACCAATATTCTTGATATTCTTTAAACAAATTTATTTTAAACATTCTAACCAGTTGAGGAAATGTTCTGTTGTCAAGATGTGGCAGATTTGGAGTATAATCATTAAATTTGGTAAAGTGTAATAGGTGTCTTACAGTAGTAAACCATGAATGCTTACTTACATTATTTAAGTGGATGTTTATCTCTAGGGCGCTATTTAAAATTTGGTTATTTTGTAAGGTAAGTAATCTTAAGAAGTACTTTAAAATTCTAGTGTAAATAATAAGATGAAGAGGAAAACGTCCGAGTTCTCCCTTCACAGCATGTTTACTTGCTTTAGAGTGAACCCCTAAGGCCATTTTGCAAACCTTGTTATACATGTTCTCGGGTGTTATTTGTTCATCAAAAATACTCGAGACAAATTCGAGACAAATACCAATGTTTATATATAGAAGTATAGAAACTGTTCAGATCCGGAAATGCTGGGCGTTGGAAATTAATCATTAACTATACCGCGATAAAAGGAACATTTTTCTTGTTTTCCGTACCCCCCCCCTTGGGTTTCCCAAAAATTCTTTAATCGATACCAAGAACCCTCGATATAACGAACAAATCATGTTTCCCCAGTCCCCTGGCAGTTCGTTAAATCGAGGTTCCACTGTAACATTGTGGGTGTACGTGACAGTAATACGGAATCAGTGATCCACCCGGGTTCTCCCCCACCCCCGTCCCGGAGTTTTTCCTCTCCAAACGAAACAACTCCTAAACAAGCTACTAGACTACGAGTAGTGAGTCCCCCATTTTCCTCAGGGATAGTAGAGCGAGCGAAACGCGAGCGCGCGTGAAAATCACCCCACGCGAGAAAAGACGACACGCGACGGGAGAGAGAAATTTTTTCTCTCTCCCCGCCGCGTGTCGCCTACGCGACTACTCGTAGTCTAAAACAAGCAACAATGCACAGATTTCCCTTCTTCAGGTCACTGGGGGGGAAAAGATATTTCTCCTTTGGGTTTTCTCCCGGCAGCCCAAGTACCCCCGAGAAGACCACCTAGTTCGATGGTACTTATCTCGCGTTTCTGAGAGATAATTCCTTTCCGTTTCACCTTGCAGTAAAATAAGAAGTGTTAGGGGGAACGTTGCGGTAAGGTGAAATGCCAAATATTGGGATTAAACAGATTAGCACACCTAAGATGTCTTTTTTTTTGCCAAATGTTTTGCACGTTCGTTGGACCACCATTTGGTTATTTTCTTTGTTTTTCCTTATCGTTCAAACTTTCCATTATATAAAGCTGTCAGTATTATTTTAGTTCGGAAATATTTGGGGATATCTCCTTTCGCCTTTCCACAGGCGACCTCGGTTTTTATTATCAGTGTCTGTCTGATCTTCGTTAATTTGTAACAACACTGTTATCTTACACCAATCGCTGTCATGACATAACAATGCCGAAATTTCTGGAGGTCATATCTCAGTGTATCCAGAGGGAAAATATTCGTCTATCATGTTATATTGAATTTCACGCTTTTGCCTTGCGCTTTGCGCAGAACTTTCTTCGATAGGGAGAGATGTCCAGCTTGACAAATGGAACGACTTCAAATGATGAAACGACGACTATTTATTTGTCTGAAACGGCGGTCGGAATCCAATCCACAGCAATACTTTTACTTACGGTGGCCTCTTTGATGTGTAATGCCTTAGTTGGATATGTCCTCATGAAAGATCCCGAGCTACTATCGCATTCATCGGCAAGAAAACTACTTGTAAACTTGACCGCGTCTAGTTTTTTACTCTCCTTGACAGTTTTTCCGTTTATAGTCGGTTCAAGTATAAGGCAAAAGTGGATATTTGGAGGCGAATGGTGTCAAATCAGTGGATTTCTTACTGTATTATTCTCATCTTCGTCTTTGGGTATGGTTATGTTTTTGAGCATCGACCGCTATCACTGTATAGTAAACCCGTTAAATTACAACTCAAGGATGTCACCGACGCGTACAAACTTTTTCATTGCGTGTAACTGGCTGGCATGTTTGTTTTTAGCGTTATTGCCTTTAGTAGGATGGGGTAAATATGGATATCAATCTGCCAAAGTTTCTTGCACTGTCATATGGAGTGACTCGATGAGCGAAGGATACAGCAAACTCTACTGCATAGTGACGCTTTTTATTCCCCTATCGGTCATGATATGGGCATATTACTACATACTTAAAGCAGCAAGAAGACAGGCCAGAGTCGCAGTAATAGCCGTGTTACCCGCATCGGTGTCAGGGCTACGAACAGCAACCCGTACGACAAACCGACAGAACCGAAACTCTATAACGTCAAATGCAAGCACATTCACGGGCTCAAAAGCGTTGCGGACTACATTTCTAGTTCTGGGAACTGTTATATTTTGCTGGGGACCCTATGCTATTTCTATTTTGTTAGAGTCGGAGCAAATACCGGTACGATATGAATTACAGACTACTTTTGTTATGGTGTCGTGTTCAAGCGCTCTTCTCTATCCTATTATCTACGGGTTTCACATAAGAGTGATCAGGCGAAGTATCAAGCGACTCGTAGCTTCTATCTTACTGTGCGGCAATGTTGTTCGGCGTCCAGCGAGCAATGCCACGTTCATTGTCTCGCCAACGGCTTCTTTCAGAAATAGATCAGTCTCGGATGGTTCTGTGAATTCGTTTGACATGACTTTTTCACCTCGGAGGGAAAGCGAGAGTCTTGGGTTGCCAGCTATCAAAGAAGAGTTTGAAATCGAGAACAAGCCCAACAGAACTAGATCAACGGAAGTCACCGATTTGGAGGTCTGTAACCTTCCAGGAAGTGTGGATTGTTAAATCGGTCAGATTTTAATGAATTGTTCGGATTTTAGGCAAAATAAAGAGATATTTTAAATGTTACAGATTTCAATCTCTTTAAGTCCTCAACAATTTTTCGCAGGAAAGTTGTCATTTCTTCATTAATCTCGGTAAAGTACCGGACCGTTCAGTTTACACTGTTCCATTTTTAAAATTCAAAAAATTCTTGTGACTTTGTGAAGACGAGAAAGTGCGAATGAATAGCTTTCATTTGTGAGGTCAAAGTTTCAAGTTACATCTGGAGAGATATACAGCAACAAAAGAAGTACAACGTGTCAGTAGGTTTTTCGTTCCTTTGGAATTTTCGCACGCAAAGTCTTCCAATGAAAACTGAACTTTTGAGGCATGGCGAAATTGATTCTGCTCAATGACGTCTCTCGTTAACTTTGAAAATACATGTGTTGACCAAAAAAACTTAAAAAATGGTATCGTGTTTATCACATTATTCTAACAGCCGCATACCGGAAGTTGTCTGGGTGGCCTGTTCACGCCATTTTGGCGCCTGTGCATGTGAAATACTTTAGTTTAGGCACGTTTCCCAGAGATTTCGCATCATTTGTTTGTCAGCAAGACCACCCAAACTGACCAAACCTGAAGTAAAACGGATTGAAGAAGGCGTGCGCACGGATTAACTCGCTTATTTATATTTCGACCGGATCAATCAAGTATCAAGGTCAAAAGGAACGTCAAAACAGGCTTTTCACATGGCAATGTTTGAAGTGCTTGGGCCACCGAAAGTTTTTGGGGGGGACTGGTTAGTGTTTACTGCTCTCATGTGTTTGATTAATTCCTAGGGACTAACGTTAGCCTGTCATGTTCCAGGCGTTCAGATCGTGGGGACATGTGTTCAGATGTGAGCAGACACAGGCTAGGCTAACCTTCATAAAACTTGCTTAAAACAGCAAACTGGTAAAACGTAGTAAAAACGCAACCTCGTTCCCAGGGTTCTCTCCTACCCGCTCGTAGGAAGAGAACCCTGGGAACGAGGTTGGTAAAAACTCTTTGCTTGAGGTCCACGCAACGCGTAAATAAAACTGACTGGTTTCTCTTGCCGGATCTCTAATTTTAAAAAGGGATGCTGTAGCCAGACGTAATGAAACAAAACGGAATGCAAAGCTGGCACTACGGCAAAGGGCTGATTTAATATTATAGGCCAATATCTCGGCTAACAAACGAATTAGCCTTCTTCAGTGCCAGAGCAAAACCGAGAGAAAAAAGCTGGTATAGCTCTGGCCCTGAGGAGGGCCAATTTCGTTGGCCGAAATATTGGCCTATAGTAAAATAGCCCTTTACCGTAGTGCCAGTCTTGCATTTAGTTTTGGTAACAACGTAGTGTTATAGAGCTCTCTCTTCCTCCCCTCCAGTGAGCATGCGCTAGTCTATAGACTCAGTCTATAGTCATAGGAGGTTGTACCTCTTTGCCGAGAGGCCATGAAAGTTGCACTCGGTCATTTTTTAAAATCCACGTTTTGCTAATAATGTCAAAGGTTTATCCCGTCGCTTTTACCACAATTTATCTCTTCCCGGAACTGTTTAATGCAAAGACCATGTAAAAAATCACACAGATTTTCACAACGGATTGCGGGGGTTCTGTTTCCTTTGATTTTGGAGGTTGATTTTAGATTCTTCTTGGTTTAGGTATAGTAACTGACGCCCTCTGGTCAGGGGCACCCAAAGAGAATATAGTTCAAAACCACTTAAACATAGCATTAATGGAAGTATTTTAGTATTTGAACGCTAGATATAGGCATATTTTTGTCTAGCTGAAAGTCTAGTGATCAGAAAATTATAGGGATCAAAACTTACGTTTTCGAACGTTTCAGCCAGAAAAAAGGCTCCCGAAAATTCTAGGTGACCTTTTTGGGGTAATAATCCGTTTAAAATGGGCAATTATTTCACAGTCTTCTATTTTTCCGTAAGATCATCGAGATCGAGAGCTTTGCGTTCTTGCACGAGTGTCAAAACTACCTAGGAGGCGGGGGCGGTTTAGGAGGAAGCGAGAAAAGTTCAGGAGGCGTGACAGGAATTTCACGCCTCAGTACTACCATTCATTAATTAAGAAACTCCACTGGTGATGAAAAACATGCCAGACACATTTAGCATCGATTACGCGTGTTTACTTAATATATCTCCTTTCGAAACAGTGATTTTATAATGTTTTTTGGGCCATTCCTCGAAATAAAATCGGCAAACATGCACAAGAAAACATTTTCCTAATCAAAATACCAAAAATCCTTCGTGTGTTTGCGCAAGATGTGCCTTATGGTATGAAAGCGTACGTTTAATGGAAACGTCGACTTGTCAATGTCGGCAACTTAAACTAAACCCGTTGTCAACGCAAATTAACATCTATTGTCTAATGACCAATCAAACGCCTGCGTTGCTGGTACAACGCGCTCCGTGAACGCGAGCTGCAGTCATGTTATTACAGTCCGTCTATTTTTCTCGCCCACCCCCCCGAGCTATAATCCCGGATGCCCGCCTCCTCGGTACATTTGAAAATCAAGAAAGCCGTGACGGTAAGACGCGGTATATCTAAACGATCTCATGAAAAAATAGGGGACTGTGAACAGTCTAATTTTTTATATGTTCGAAAATCCTAGGAGAGGGAGGCAAGCAAGAAATTTTACAACAAATGTTCCGAAAATTCTAGTTCTCAAATCGTCTTCGAACAGATATTTTCCGAAAATTAACGTTGGGTGCCCCTGTCTGGTAATCTGCGTGTGTATTTTTGTATTCCGCATGACTGGTTGCTGCATGCTGAGAAGCTCACTCGTCCCCAGGCCTCTGTTTTCGTTTGTAAGCGGTCCTGAAACCGTCGTAGGAGACTGTCACGGCATCTTAGCGAAGGGGACGATGGCAAGGAGAGAGAGAAAAGGAACTCCTTTCTTCCCATCTCCTCACGCGCGCATCTTCCACGCGCTTCCCTCGGGGACAAAAAGAGATGACCTTAGGATCCGGCACGACTGTCAACAAACATGGCACATAGTTTCAGAATAATAGTTTCAGAAATGTACCTTACCTTTCAGAAATGTAACTTACCTTCACCATTACAGAATTCCTTCAGACCCTGATGCACCAGCTATGTCAGTCTTCTTAAGTCAGAGTGACTAACGGTGCCGCTGTCCGCGATGTTTTTCGCTGTCCCTCCAAACAATTCTTAGAGCCTTTGCTGCAATAACTGAGTTGTACCATTTTTCAGCCCGTTTAGGACATGGACAATTCCAGACCCAAACAAAGTCAAGATGTGCCACACTAGTGCTATAAATACACTGTCCATGGCGTTACGTTTAGCAGTATTTCACTTTCTTCATTTTCTGAGCGCAATAAAAGGGGAAACACTTCGACGTCAATTTGTCTTGTGAGAGATATCATTTTCCCTCAGTTGGCAACTTCATTTTCTTAATTATCTCTTAGCTAACATTTTCTAACATGTCAGGAAGGTCAACCTGCATTACGCGGTCAGTTGGCCATTCTCCGTGCAGAGGTGACCGCTTAATACAGCGTTTGAGTGTATTTGTAAGTTTCTTCCAGGCAGTACCCGGCTAGGCTACCAATATGAGTATAGTGGCTCTAGTACGCGGCTGCTGTTAGGCCCATAAGTGATTTTGCGCACGAAAGATCATCTTGGGCACCCGCGGGGTGTCCTATATAAAATTGACGGAAAAGTCAAATTAACCCTAGCCTCCCACGCAGGCGTTTTTAGGAGAGGGATGAAAGACGAGCACCCCTAAAAACGCCTGCGTGGGAGGTTAAATTAACTCCTAAGGGAGACCAATGTGGGTGTAGCTCAAGGTTAAACTGCCCCTAAGGGAGATTTCTGTGTGGTCAGTGTCAGAGCATTATTTGTAAATTTCTTTATGCACAGTACTAAGCGATACCTGAATGGGCAAATATAGGGACTATCCATCCCAAACACCCTAAGTGAGACCAAAATCTGAAATTTACACCCCAATGCGAGACGATGCCTATCACCGTCACTTTTATATGGGAGTCCCCCCGGGCATGAGTAGCAAGTTCCTAGAGTCCAAGTCGATTTAGCCTGCGAAAACATTCGTTTCTCCTCGCTCTTCGCCGCTGGGGACGTTTCGCGAGGAAACGTCCCCAGCGGCGAAGAGCGAGGAGAAACGGATGTTTTCGCAGGCTAAAGTCGATTTGGTTAAAATCAGTTTGCTTGCCCACCGCTCTGATATTATCATAAAGGAAGCTTAAGAGGCAGTCTCCCTAAAAGCGTTCCACTCGATTTTGGACTCGAAAAAACTTTTGCCTCATAATTTTACCATCAACACTACTATCCATCCTAATAACGAAATTGCAGTTAGAATGAGGAAATTGTCTATTTTACTGCTATTCCCAGCATTTCATTGCTGGACGACCGTTAGCGGCTAAAATATGCAAATTTTAGTCTCTGTTACACAGGTTTTTTAACGATCGTTCTAAAGTTCTTCGGGTCATCAAATCCTAGACTATTGCGCTCATTTGGAAGCATATTACTTCTTCTTACTGTTCCAATACCATTTAGGCATTATCTTTCTGTAATCAGCAAAAACTGGTCGTCTTTATTTCGCTGATCCAATTAAGAAAGCAAACTGCACGAAAAAATGCCTCAAAATCATCAGAAAATTCTCAAAAGTGGCACCTAAACTAGACCTAAAAACATGTTTTAGTTAAAGATTAATAGCTATTTTGTCAAGTGATGAAATAAAACTTGTGGCACAACGCGATTCAGAATTGAAGGTTTCAACTCCAATTTAGGCAAATGTTCAATTTGCGTTGCGTGACGATACCGGCTGCTGTCACAACAAAATCCTCAGTTATTCAAATACTTGCCACTTTCAAGTAAGATATGCCTCATTTTCCCACCAAACCTATATTAACATTTCCTTTTTCCCTTTGCCAGTGATATATATTGTTCAAAAATTAGTTCAGCAAGTAAAAGATACCTTTCCAAGATTCATTTAATATTCCCACTGCCCCGACCATTCGTGTTAAGTCTGTTACGTCAAGACGGAAAAATACCTTTTCAGCACCAAACCTCTTCTAGCTTAAAATGTGGTCCAGTCTGAAAAAGCTGCATTGACCAGAAGTTACTCCGATCCATCATATTATAAAATCGAACGTTAGAAGAAAAGCAAATTTCCCACTGCTTAATTAAATATGCGTGAACAGGTCCGAAAATGTTTGACTTGTACTTCGCCCCACGTAAGGGTATCCGGATTCCGGAATCTGGAAAATTTTTGCTTGTAGGATCCGGAATCCGCGAAAATTTTGATACGGAATCCGGAATCCAGGGCTTTGGAATCCAGAATAGAGCTCAAGCACCCTACTAAGGAATAAAATCTAGAATCCAATTTCCACTGTAAAAGACTGGAATCCAGCACCCGGAATCCTGAATCTACGGAATGGGATCCAGAATCCAAGACTGTCTTGTATTCGCTAACATGGGGCGATAGTACTGGACTGTGAACGGCGAATTACTATTTTCCCTTTATTTACCTTCCACTGATCAGGAGCCCACATTTGAAGACTTTGTTAATGAAATTTCAGTTAGAAGGTTTCTTCCATTTACTGACTGTTTCTTCCTATCAACAGTGGTCAGCTTTTGTTTTCACTCTCAAAGAGACAGTCTGGAGTCTAAGGCTACTTTTTTATCGCAGCCAGTTAATAAAGGAGTTGGCACACCCAAATCATAAAGTTTTAACATTAATTTCGAATCGTGCAACATCAGTGAAAGTATAACAAGAAAATAAAGTGTGGAAGTTCACGCGGTTTTTCCCAATTGATAAAAGTACACGATTGTCAGGACACCATTACTTCTTACCATGAAACCTGTCATCCATCGAAGGCTGAACTAAGTGAAGCAGAGCCAATACTCTCAAAAGATGGTAATCATTGGCCTTACGAAAAATCAAGTGGAAAAGATGGTGATCTGCTTCCCCGGGAGGACTCCCATACAAAAGTGACGTGGGTGCTCGTCGTTTGCAGATTTTGGTCTCACTTCGGTTATTTGGGACGGAAAGTACCTAAATATGCTCATTCAGGTATCGCTTAAGGCTGTACATAAAGAAATTTGCAAACAAAAAAAAAAAGCCGTGACGCCACGCCCACATTGGTCTCCCTTAGGGGTTTAAATAATAAATTATTAATTTTCCGACGACCAGCCCCTTCGCTTTTATATGGGAGTCCTCCCTGGGATTACCCACAAATATCGGCGGATAAACTAGGACGATTTTGGCGGCCACCTCGTTCTTCGCATAGAGGACCAAGAAAGGAATATTAGGACCAAGGACAGGCATGTAATTGGTTTGGAGATTGCTAAGATCGTATACCATCTATTTTAAAGGATGGGATCACGTACGTATAAAATCGTAAAATCATTGCTAATATCGTTATCACTAGTTCCTTTATCTGTGATAAGATAACGGCAAAAGGGCCAATGGATATTGTCATAATCGTAATTTCAAGTTCAGACAATGATAAACTCAGTAGTCCACTCAATTTTTTTTATTTAGAAATATGCGGGAAGTGAAGATCCAAACATAATGAAGTTATGGAGAAAAGTAGGAAGTGGCTTTAAGTCAAATATCCTGATATTAATCACTGTTGCACTATGGCATAAAGTTACACAGTCAGCTGATGCACTTGCACATTTGATATCATTTATGAGCTGACGGATTTGAATATCACAAGATACACGCGTGAAACAGAAAGTGATAAGCGCATATCTAAACCTAATTTGGAGTCGGAGTTAAACTGCCAAAATCGTGATTACCTACCTTTAGGCATATTACTGAGAGTACTCATGACAATTGTTTGGTACCATGGAGAATTCACCGACAGAATTTTCTATTGAAGCCCAACGGGGACAAAAACCTCTGAATTCGAACAATCATTAGAGGTGAGAACTGACGTGAAGTCTGAATCCGGCATTGTCGAAGGTTTCCCCAGCATGAACATTTCTCCAGGTCGAGACCCCTACACTGTTTTTACGTCTTTTCTCGATTCACGTCTTGTTAGCGGTTATTACCCTGTTCTTACAGACGCTTGCATTCTACCACGTTAATGATGTAACAATACATACATCTGAACAACAGCTGAAGGATCTAGGATCACATTTTTAAAAATCGGTCTTTGGACCCTCCGTGTGGATCCAAATTCATATTGATATCGATTTTACTAAATTAGGCGCCACCGCGTTTTTTGACTCCAGTGCGGCGCTCATTTGATACACCAGCCTACCGCGGACAATGCTGTTGAGCCACTCAGAGAGGATCTTATTGCTTTTATATGTCTGCATACCGAGATGCTATGACAAAGAATATAAAGACCGCAAATACTTCACAAATCTTATGAAAAAAATACAAAAACAAAAAACGAGCGAGATTGCATGCGAGTAAACAAAGAGCTGGTACAAATTTCCCTAAAATAGTCAAATATTCACCCCCTAGTCGTTCAAAGCTTAACAACTTGACAGGCTAACGGTTTTATTCAGTGGTGGTATAAACAGGTTACAACCGAGCACTGTACGCTACTCAGTCACTTCACTCACTGTCCATCACGGAATTGGTAGCGTACAGCATTACCAGCATAGCACTAGCACTGTACATAGACAATCAGATTTGTGATCGAAGGCCGGTAGATTTATACATCTTAGAATTTATACTAATATCAAATTCCTAAAGGTGTCCGGACACTAACTTAATTCAAAGTACATTTCACAGCTGATGTCATTTTTTTAAGGGCAAATAACAATTTACTTGATAAGAATTTATAAGTACGAGACTTATTGTGGCGTAGACGTAATTAGCAGGTTGTTCATTCTACTTCTTTGAACTCCAGTCCATATTTTCTTAATTTTTCTTCAAGGACTACCGTGTGCCATCGTCCCATATATATAGTGTAAAGGTAAATGTGTGAACGACCTTCTCGCTGCAAAATGTAAATACTTCCACCTGTCACTAGACAGGAGAAACATTGTTCTCGTTAATGTTATCTGTAAAACAAAAATGTTCGTTAGAACGCGATTGAAGTATGTCGAATAGCCTCTTCCAGGCGTTCAGACTGTGGGTGCGACCCTCCGAGGGATGCCAGTAAGAAAAGGGCGAGGGGTTAGGGTAGGGAGAAATGCATATTTTTCCCGACCCACTCTACTAATAAGAAGGCCAACTACTGGGAGTCGAACAAAGGACGGCCGGCCGAGACTATTAAGCAAGAACGACAGCGACGGCTACGAAAAAGTCATTTAAAAATTGAATTTATTAGGTCAGTGGAAAAGTAAACTTAATCTTCTATAAGCTTAACCTATTTCCGATTTTTCTTGTTGATAAAGTAAAAAAAAAAAACAGAAAAGTTGTCATTTGTAGGATCATGAAGAATTTTTTTACTATCACAGCGGCCGGTGTCACGCAATGCGAATTCAGCATCAATATGCAAATTTCAGTCGAATCCTTCAATTCTGAATCGCGTTGTGCCACAAGTTTTATTGCATAACTTGACAAAATAGCTATCAATCTTTAACTAAAACATGTGTTTAGGTCTAGTTTAGGTGCCACTTTTGAGAATTTTGAGATGTTTTTGAGGCATTTATTCGTGCATCTTGCTTTCTTAATTGGGCTAGTGAAATAAAGACGACCAGTTTTTGCTGATTACAGAAAGATAATGCCTAAATGGTATTGGAACAGTAAGAAGAAGTAATATGCTTCCAAATGAGTGCGAACAGTTTCGGATTTGATGACCCGAAGTACTTTTAAACGATCGTTAAAAAACCTGTAAAACGGCACCTAAAATTTGCATATTTTAGCCGCTAACGGTCGTCCAGCAATGAAATGCTGGGAATGGCAGTAAAATAAACAATTTCCTCATTCTAACTGCAGTTTCGTTATTAGGATGGATAGTAGTGTTGATGATAAGAATATAAGGCAAAAGTTTTTTCGAGTCCAAAATCGGGTGGAACGCTTTTAGGGAGACTGCCTCTTAAAGGGGCTGTGTCACGGCAGTCACGTTCATTTTGTTTAATTTTGCCAGTTACTCACCCTCAATCGCTATGAACTTAAGCAAAGAAATTACATGTAACTGACAAAATCAGAGATCCGAGACAAACAAATATGTCTCCTGAGCATTATTTTTGAAGTTGCAAGCAGCAGGGATCAACTTTGAAAAACTGTTAGGCTGAACAGTTTTCAAAAACCCTAATTTCAATCCGTTTCAATCTTCTTCAGTTTTGCCCATCCGTGGCATCTGTTGTTTTTGTTATGTTATTTTAACCTTCCTTTAAAGTTTGAAGCGGTTATTTTTATGTTTCCCTTAATTTAACGGGCATTTTGTAATTTCCTAATTTGGCTGTATTTCGTGACTCTGCTCCAACACGAACACGAAAACGTCACTTGTCAATTCGCGCTGCATCAAACTTTATCGCGCTTATTCCATCTCTTTGAATTGGTCAAAAGTTGGCAATTTTTTCTACAGTTGAATTCTAAACGACCTTATAACGAAGTTCAGAAGAAGAAAAAGAAAGTCGTTGTCTTGTGTTTACATCCTCCAGAAACGTGAAATTTCGCATTTTCACGTCGTAGTCGTGCAGTGACGGGAAAGAAATGTACAAAAAAGCGTGATGAACGTCCAGTGTTTCACAGTGTTGTTATTTTGTCGATACAAACCTATTGCTTTTCAACTTCAACTTCAACTTCAACTTCAACTTTATTCATTCACTTTCAATTTACAATTACACGATAGCTTCCACCCGCGTATAGGAGAGCCTAATCGAGGCGGGGGAAGAGACACACAAATTTAAAGAAAGAAAAGAAAAAAAAACAATTATTTTACAAACAGTACCAGCTGTCGCAAAATAAAAACTATAGTATGTATTAAGCTAATGTAATTGCAATATGATTTACACAGAGAATATAAATTTAGTTGTGTTCCTGAGCTAGTTAAATTTAAGTTGATGCATGATTTCAGTGATTTCAAGATAGTCATCAGATTTAGATAAAATTTCAAAGAGCTTATTCCTTGTCTTTTTCCAAAAGGTAGATTTTGGTAAGTTTCTCATATCTGAGGGTAAAGAATTCCAGATTTTTGGTCCAACTCTTAAAAAAGAACTACGCATTTTTCCAAACCTTGAGTGTTCGGTATAGAAATCATCATTGAGAGAAGATCGGGTAGGATATGAGTGCACCTCAGAAATCCTAGTAAAGGCTCTCTTGATATTTTCAGGTGCAGAATTGTTAGCAACGTCCCACATGATACTACAAAGACAATCAAAGTTTTTGCCTTTCTCGTTGACTCGGTCGCCGTCGTTGTTGCTTAAGCTCCCTTTTAATCAAGATTTACCAAACATTTCCAGTTCAGAAGCTGTCGATCAAGAAGCTAGTGCAACAATGCTTTGAATCACCTGCAAGCGCTTGTTATGCTCTAAGTTACTATATAACTATGCTTGATTGACTTTAAAACAAGTGCTTATGCTAATTTTGTAAATACTATACAGTGTTTTCACGGTACGTGGTTAGCAGCTATGCTGATTCACTGCGACAAAAGAAAGCGTTTACTTTAGAAAAGAGTTAAACTCCCACAGGATTGTCTTGGCCACAGTTTCATTGTTTTGGAATTCCAATATGGCCGCCTTGACGTCACGTGAAATGCTCTCTCCGACTTTTGTTGTTTTGTTGTGCCATGGACGGTGACGGTTGTATACTTCGTAGGCCCTGTGTTAGTCACGTTTTTGCAGGAAAATTAGCAAAGGAGTTCTACAGCTTTGAAAAAATAGCCGAGATAAAGGAGCTGGATAGTTTCTGCGATAGGAATTTCTATATTCGAGGGAAGCAGAAGCCGAAAACAGAACCATACTTAACTAAAGCTGATCAATCAGTTACGGTCTTGGACGACAGGGAATACGTGCTCAAAATATTGAATTCGGATGACAGTAAACACGGAGATTTAGTTGATGCTGAAAATGAAGCAATGAGATATTTAAGAAGCAGAGATTTCCCTTGTGCTTTAGTTTACCCGGTTACTGGGAGCTCAGGAACGAAATTATATGCTCGAGTTCCATTGCCACGTGATCTAGATGACGAAAAGACAGAGGAGTGTATCGTTCGACTGGTTTCCTTCCTTCCTGGAGAAACAGCTGAAAGTATGGGGAGGATAAGCCAAGAAAACTTATTCTGCATAGGCCAGTTTGTTGGGCGGTTAAGTAGGGCTTTTCAGGTAAAATGCTGTGATAATTGTAGTCCTCACAACAGCTACGATATATGCTAATTACGCTCGAGGTAATAGGGATGACTTCATTCTGCTGCAGCCGCCAGTTTATAGGTAACCTGCAATCAGGCGTTCTTTTTTCGGGAATAGCGCTGAACGTCGGTGGCAAATTTGCAAAAAGGGAAGAAGGATCACCTGACCTGTGTCGTAGAGAGGCTGGGGAGAAGGAGAAAGAAATCGCCTTCACCCTCATATTAAAGAAAACAATGTACTCAACTACAGTCAAACCTGTGTACAACCTTTGTGACATACCAAGGTGACCGTTATGTACTTTGCATAAAATATAAGGCAACTGAAAAACTTGGGAAATTTGTCCAGGGACCGTAATATACAGAGTGACCGCTATGTACAGGTCAGCTTTGCAGAAAATGTAAGGCAACTGAAAATTTTGGAAAGTTGCCCGGTGACCGTAATATACAGGGTGACCGCTATACACGGGTCAACTTTGCAAAAAATATAAGGCAACTGAAAATTTTCGAAAGTTGTCCACTGACCGTAATATACAGGGCCGTTATTTACAGGTTGGATGTATCTCAGATAGACAGTTGTCAGGCTCGTCTACTCAAGACTGTTTTCAGCAATGACTCTTATTTCTTCCGTTTTATTTACAGGGCTTTGAATCTCCCGTGTTGACACAGAAGTTCGACAGGTGGAGCTTGGAGAATTTTCTTTCTCTTGAGGAATACATCACCTTTGTCAACGACAGAGAGATCCAAAGCATTATTCACAGAGTAATGGGTATTTTTAAAACTCAGGTGATTCCAAAGCTTTCACATCTTCGTCGTGGAATAATACACAACGATGTCACTACGGCAAATCTTCTTGTCGACACGACCCAAGGTAGTCTTAAAATCTCAGGGCTGATTGATTTTGGTGACATACGCCATTCGTGTGTGGTGTTTGAGTTGGCGAACGCCTTAGCATCATTTATTAACGAAGACCAGATGTTAGTGGACAGCGGTTATCTTGTGGCTGGTTACCAGGCTGCTTGTCCCATTCCCGGTCTGGAGTTCGATCTCTTGTACGATGTCGTGTTGGCCCGTTTGTGTCAAGTTGTTATCATCACTAATAAAGAACAAATAAAACATCCAGACAACAGATACCTTAATCATACTTTAGAAAAATACTCTGCTAATCTCACAGCTTGGTTTAAGACTTCTAAGGACAAAGTCTTGAAGTGTTGGAGGAAAATTGGGCTAAAGAAGGCCGGGAATTTCCTCATGCAATAAAATATTTGCTGGCCTCTTAGGAATCATAGGGATTAAGGTAATTTTCAATCGTGGTCCTAATATTATCACCTCTCAATGTTTAGATGAAAAATAAAAACCAGGGGCACCCAACGACTGTTTTCTGTAAAATATCTGTTCGGGGAAGCGATTATCGCCTAGAATTTTTCTATCCCTTAAGGACGGCTAAACATTTCTAGATAACCTTTCCACTCATGTACAATTTTCTAAGCTTATCTAATTTATTTCCAACGATTTTTGAAGTCTAATTTTCACATTTCACTTCCCAACTTTGGCCATTTATCGTAGAAAAAAGGAAACCTAAAATCTGCGGATTCAAAAATGTGATGGAGAGAAGAATCAGAAAATGTCTCACTTTCGTCAAATTGTATCGTAAATTTAGGGCAAAAGGACACTCAAGCCCTCACAATTTCAGAAAGACTCAAGTTACCCTAGGATGACCGAAGAGATACAAATTTTACAGCGCTACTTGGAATGTATTTCTACACAGATCTAAACTACTGTGAATAGCCTAAAAAGTGTTTTCAATGTGTTTAGGAAGAAGCTGTCGCTGGGTGTCCCTGAAAAACCAATATGTTAAAGAAAACATTTATCTGGTAACACAGTCAATGAGGATAAATAAGGAAAGAAAACGGGTGAAGACCTTGCTCAAAAAAACTATGACTGCCTTGAGGAACTCGTTAACGGTTCCTTTCAAATTATTCCACAAAATAACAAAATAATTTAGCCTTAGGATTGATAACGGATTGCTCTAAAAATCAAAACCAAATAAATTTATGCCTACTGCTAGCCGGACTACAAAAAGCCTCTCCTACTGATACAAGACTTTCAGTTCTACAATACCTCAAATCAATTTATCTACTGGAGGAAAAACAACTTGGAGAATGAAAGTAATTTGGAAATATTAGCGTAAGGTCAAAACAGTTAATTTTTTAACTCGGGTCTGTCAGTGGCGACTTTCTTACTGAGCGATAGGACAAGGATAACTGAATCACTTTTATGGCGCATGGAAATATCGGTATGGTCTCCGAAAAACTTTATCGAAACACCTTAAGTCAAACCGCCCGCATAATTTAAAAAAAATTGATATCATCTTGTTTCTTAAATATATTTTTTTGTGTTAATCTGTTTAAAAACACTTTCCTATCTCATTTAGAAAATTGTTGTCTAAAATGCTTCTTAAAGAGTACCCAGGTCGACTGTTATCTATGCGAACTCAGTCTGGTGAACTACCCTGCGTGGTAGGCGTTCGATAGGGAGGGGGGAGGGGTTTGGAGCACGTTGTGATATTCACTCCCCCTCAGGCTCCCCCTTCGAACACCTGTCACGTAGCGATCTGGTGAACCCAGGCGCGGACCCACACCGGTTTCAATCGGTGAGATTTTTCATAAAAAACTTATTGATTATTGTTTTGCCATGAAAGATGTACAAAAAAAAAAAGGAAAATCAAAACTAAAAAGAATTTAAAGAGCTAATTGCTTGGAAGCTTAAGGGAAGCCATCGGGCTGATAAGGACTCAGAAACCCAAGTAAGGGGACTTTAGAGAGGAAAAATACAAAAACTTTCCCGAGGGGGAGGATGCCCCCAGCCCCCCCTTAAGGTGATGTTACACGAGACGACTCGCAACGACGATTCACTTTAGCGTCACATTGTTGCGACATTGTTTCATTTCATTTTCATTTCATTTTCATTTTTTATTCCTCCAATTCCTAGCTGATACATAGTTATGTAAATATAGCTGAGAAAAATAATAAGTAAGAGATAAAGATTTACAAAGGAAATAAACGCGTAAAATAGAAATGACAACACTTAAATTGAATTACATTGTATATTGGAAGGAGAGGAGAGGGGCACATCTAGATAAACTAATATTGTGCCCCTTAAAGTTATGTATAACAAAGGACTTAAGATTATTAATAAAAAAGGAAAGGAAAAAAATGACAAAATAGCTCAGAAAGTTATAGAACATTGTTTCGGATGGTTACAACAGTTGTTCCAGCATTGCAACGCTGTGTTGCGCTAATCGTCGATGCGAGTCGTCCCGTGTAAGCTTGTGCCTTCGGCGCTCATCAAGGAAATCGGTCAGTGTTTATCCTACAATCCATGCCCAAACCTGCCTCTTTTCAAGTTTGTTTTGATCTGAAATTTATTCATAGGTCCCTAGTTTTGCATTTTTTGATTAAGGAGAAGTAAACATGTCCGTTTTTTCTTTTTGTTTTGGTTTTGTTCGTTTGTTTTGTTTTGTTTTGTTTTTTTTGGCAGGTTTTCATGCCTTCCACTCTCACAACCTCGTAAAGAAGAGAGATAGCCCTTAAAGACTGGTAACGAGATAGACAGATACGGGGCGGAGCTAATGCTCTGTAAATACTGAATATTGAAATTGATAATTTGGAATAATTCTAAATTCATGCAGGAGGTTTCCTTGACTTCACTCAACGATTGGCGATCATTTTAGGCATTGCCAATAGTCCAGTAATCTCAAGTAACTCACTCGATCTAGCGACAGACAATATCCGTACATTGATTTCGCTTCCTTGAATATATTCATGTTTTTGACTCAAATTAATTAAATCCACGTCTACAAATGAATTAAAAATTCGTATTATTAAATCTAGACTTGGTACTCTGAGTAATGAAGCTTAATGATATAGCCGGCAATCAGTATGTACAGACTCGGTGTATGGAAATTGATTTTTGCAATGGTGGGTGCCGAAATTACGAGAGCTTTTAAAATTATAGTCTGATCATCGTTTTATTCTTAATTCTTTCTTTTCATTTGTGGTTCTCGCGGAGCTTAGAAAACGGTTCAAACAGTTTGAACTTGTTGAATTTGAGCGTTTTCTGCGCGGGTCATTTTGACGCCATCTGGCTTGTGAATTGTTAAGACGAGATACTCGTCCTTACAATTATTACTCATCCTTTAGAGAGCGATATCAACAAGCTTTACAGAAGTGTCGATGCCAGCCCTATTTTTGCACCCAAGAATCGACAGCTTTGTCAGTTAAAAGCCGATTTTTTTTTACATACAAATGTCAAGTCTTTTTTCTTTGTTTAGGGCGACAGTGATTGGCTCTTGTCGTCTAGGTACCAGATAGGCTTATTCATATTTCATTAATATACTTTCAATTCCTTTAGTCCATCTTTCTCCATATTCAAAACATCTCCGCAGCTGAATTCAAAACAAGGCCGACTTTCAAAATTCAATTTAATTTTATTAGGAACGGAAGTACTGTTTTGCGTGGTATTTAAAGACGGCGAATGGCCGACAGTGAAAAAAATCAGGTAGTAAAATTAGCGCTGGGCAAACTACTTTGGGCAAAATGCAGAGGCGTGAAAGCTGAATTTTGGAAACGCACAAAGCACAACTTGATTTCCGCACACTACCCGCTGAGCGAATAAATTCCTTTCTTCGAGGCTACACTCTTGGATGGGATGATATGAACGGCAATGGAAGAACGTGTTATCATAAACGTTAGTGGAATGACTTTTGAAACGAAGGAGACAACGCTTAGCCGCTTTCCTGATACCCTTCTCGGAAATCCTTCGAGAAGACAACGTTATTTCAACCCAATCGTACAGGAATACTTCTTTAACAGGCATCGAGTGGTATTTGAATCAATTCTTTTTTACTACCAATCCGGTGGAAGACTTATTTGGCCAGTAGATGTCCCAGCAAGCGTTTTTACTGAAGAGGTGGAATTTTTCCAGCTGGGAGAACAAGCTTTGAAAAGTGTGGCGAAATGTTTTTATACAGAAAGACAGCGCATTTCGCCCCAGTTTTCCTTTCAAAGGCGAGTGTGGAACTTATTCGAACACCCTGATACGTCGCATTTTGCGAGAGTAATTGCAATGCTTTCTATTCTTATGATCGCTATCTCGGTAGCAGTCTCTATCATCGAGACAATGCCTTACTTCAGAAACTTAGGAGAAAAAGAATGCAGTTCCAGCGCGCGTTTGAGATGTAACAGCAGCGCACTAACTAATAAAGACCTTATAAATGTAAAGATGGAGCACGATTGTAACTCAACAACCGCGGAGGATGGAAGTTGCACCCATGGCACTTTAGAAGTGTTTATAGTCTTAGAAATTATTTGTTATTCGTGGTTTTTATTCGAGTACCTCGTGCGTTTCGCAACGACGCCGAATCGCTTGCAATTTCTTCTGTCGGCGATGAATTTTGTAGATCTCTTAGCGATCATTCCGTTTTTTACAATTCTGATCAACGGGAACCGTCGTTTGGTGTCGTTGGCCGTTCTTCGTACCACAAGACTGCTGCGAATATTTCGCATTCTGAAGCTCACTCGCTATTCCCGCGGGCTCAAAGTTATGATGTTTACTTTACGAGCCAGCCTTAGTGAACTCGAAATGATGTTGTTGTTTATGTTTATGATAATTATTTTATCCTCGAGCGCGGTATTTTACTCGGATCTAGGAGCAGAAGGAAGTTTCTTTACTAGTATTCCCGACGCATTTTGGTGGAGCGTTACGACTGTTACCACTGTTGGTTATGGAGACTACTACCCTATATCTGGTTTCGGGAAAGTTGTCGGTGGTATCTGTGCGGTTTTTGGTGTGCTCGCCTTTTCTCTTCCTGTTATGGCCTTTGCAAAAAACTTCAACGCCTATCTCAAAGGAGAGCCGATTCGAAGACATATTGAAAACAAATGTAGAAGTAGAAGACACTAAGAACCGCATTGCTACTTCGCGAAATAGCTAAACAGGCAAATCCTCTGGTTCGAGAAAATAACACATCTTTCATAACTCAGTTGTTTTAAAGATAAACCAGACTACACTGAGACAATTGTAAAAATTACTTTTTCGCTCAAGACCAATATCGGACATGAAAGTTTGCTTTCAAAGTTGCGCATGGCCTTGACGAAAAGAACTCAATCTAGCATAATATATTATAAGATTATAGCGACTCGGCGAAGACGCTAGGAGTTTTTTAATATACTGTAAACAGAGTTAGTTTAACTTCTTCTTGGAGTTTAAAATATTGACTGAGCAACGTCTCCCTACAGAGGAGACAAACAATCTAACTTTGTCAAGTTTTTTTATTTCATGAGAGATGACACTAAATAGCCAGAGCTAATAAACTTGTGACCCTCTTTCGGAAAAGTTTCGAAGAAGACTCTGTTATTCACTTCGACCGTTTTTGTCTCTTGAAGGCAAAAACAAAATAACAGATTGATTTATTAGACTGGCAGCTGATTTCGATCAAAAAGAGAACAAATTTTTCTATTGTGAGCAAACTTAGCACTCTAGAACAGCGTGTATAATAAAACGTTGAATATCGCGATCATATCACGGTATTCCCATTTAATGGCCGGGAAGTTTAGGATGCTAATAAACTGAACTAATTTGCATTCATATGAGGCGCACAATTTAATGTTAACCACAACATGTTATCCAATTGACGTGAACGTGAAAAACTGAAATTTCGGATGCTAATCGGAATTCAAAGCCTAAATTCAATTCACTTCTAAAATTGAAGGAACCTTATCAAGTGGTGTCGGGTGGGGATAACGAAAAAAGAGATAGTCAACTTTAAAGGTCTTTAAAGTCGTCCTGAAAACATGAATGTTAAGTTTGATCGGCTTCTCGGAATGCCGATATGATATGCGCTCAAATCCTCTCAGGGCTTGGTATTAAATTCTTTTACCCCTTAAACAACGTTTAATCGCTATTTTAGCAAATATGTTAAGGCTTATTTTGCCTCCGAACAAGCTGCTCCCTTCTTGTATTAATTACAATTAAGGACATGTAAAAAATTTTTTCAGGAAGAAATTTATTTTTGCTCCAGAAGTTCATAATGCTCATCATTATATCGGCCACACAGTTTATGCTATCGCACAGTTGGCCATGTGTTGTCGACTTTTAAGGTAATAATTTATGGAGCTAATTTTGACAACGCGGTATTGATAAAGGTGATCAAAGATATCGATGCTTTCTTCGATTGATGAATTCTGTATATTCCTTACGTACAGAATGAAGTATTATTTGGCACTAAGAGAGAATAATTCTCTCTTGTTGGAACTCATCAGCCTTTTCTATTTGCCTCCTTTTAAATTTACCACTCTAACTTGGTACTTGTCGGTGGGTCTCTAATTTCGCAGTTTTAGCGATTGTTACAAAAATCGCTTCGCCAGCTGATTTGAACAAGCGAAATTAATTTAATACGCATACAGAAAATTCAAATCACAGAAAAAAGATGATTAACATGTGCGAAAACAACAACATATGCTGACATATATCGACAAATACGCAAATTATTGACTGGTTTCAATGGTTAGGGCCATTCAATGGAAAGTTTAGTTCTCGATGGTGAAATAAGGTTAATTGCAAATTAACGATTTGGGTGATTTCACATGTGAAGTAGAGTCTACCTAGATCTTCATTCGCGTTTCCCAGTTTGTCCAGAAATTTTAAAGTGTTCAGACTTTTTTTAAAAAAATAAAAACAAGTGAGAACGCATGAATCGCGAAAGTTATTGGTCTTTTTTCTGAGTGAAAACGCGAAAATAAAATCCCGCAAAATATTGTCTCTCCAAAATCGCGAAATTAGCAGCAGGCGGTTTGCTGGGATGTTGGTTGGGGCCGGGCAAAAGCTGGACCGAGATCAAACGCTAAAACGAGGGAAAGGTTTGGGGAGGTAAATAAACTGTCACAACAAAACATCAAAGAACAAAGCGACTTGGCCGATTACGGTCAAGCCTTTCTGCCTCCTTCCCATCGTCCCTTTCGTTGAGCTCTCAAAATAGTCTCCCACAAACGTTCAGTTTAAAATGATAAGAGAAGACTCGGAACGAGTCAGCCTCTTTTCCTTTAACCTCGGTCAAGTTTTTTGCGCGCCGGGCTATGTTTGCGCGAATAGCGAAAAAGACCTTTAACTTTCTTCCTTGAAAGCTAAATCTGGGGAGTACTTCTGCAGTGGATGGAGCAAATTTTCAACCAGTATTACCCAGATCTGGGTAGTCACGTGTCATCAGTCTGGAATTTCAGCGCTCGTTTCTCAGACGTCATTTCGCGGGGAAACCAGTGGTGACGTCGCGAAATGTCGGCTAATTCTCAGGCTTCAAAAAGGCCTTTTCTGAGTTGCCTCATTCCTGTCTGTTACAAAGCGAGGCTGCCATTGCATATGATTTGCACTTAGCCTCGACTTGAAAATGAGGGTTTCTGGTATTCGGGAAAGGCCTATATTACAAAAACTAACGCCGGCGTCGGTCTAAGTAACCGACCCTTTGTTCTGGCTCAAAGCTCTTTAACTAAACTTGTCTATACTGTTTACATTGTGCAAATGCAGGCACTAATTGCTATGTAGAAACTCTAATAATAAAAACACCTGCCTCAGGTAAACGTAAAGAAACGAGATAACTTGAATAGCTCAAACGAACGCAAACAAAGAGATTTACTACTTCGAAAGCTTTCTGTGTAAACTTGTAAACTTGTACCCTAAACTATGGTTCGTCACATATTCTCACGTACTGTGGAGCGTTGTTAGAGTGTGTCCAAAATAGAATGCAAACCAACTGTTTTGTAGTCCAAGTCTAAAAAGCCTTTTAATTTTATCTCGCAGAGCTAAACGTCATAGTTTCAGTTTAGAATTTGACCGGCAGCAAAAAACAGGGAGGGATCATTGTTTCAATTACGATTCTTAGCTCCTGCAAGTCTACTTGGCTCTGAGACTGGATTTTTCTCTGAGACTAAAGATTGCCTTTTTAAGCTAAAACATGCTGACAAAATTAACGACCCTTCACAAGCGACTGTCAGTGAAAACAAGTTGATTGGTTTTGTTTTGGAAAAGCATTTTCACACGGCATACTGTATTTCGCGGACTGGACTGGACTGGACTGGACTAGTAAAACGCGGACTTGTAAAACGCGGACTCAAAATTTGTAAAACGCGGACTCAAAATTTGTAAAACGCGGACTCAAAATTTGTAAAACGCGGACTCAAAATTTGTAAAACGCGGACTCAAAATTTGTAAAACGCGGACTCAAAAATTTGTAAAACGCGGACTAGAAATAAAAATAAATACATAAATAACTAAAATATTTGCTTTATTAAATGAATATATCTCTTCTTATATAAAACGTTCCGAATGAAACGTCAACAGGAACATAATCTGATGTCATAATCATACAGACAACAATTCAATTGCCGGATATTATACTATCCACTTTAAAACATTACTTCAAACAAAAAAACTTTAACATGTGATGTCATAATCCCGGCTCACAGACAACAATTCAACTAGACCATAGCGGCAAGCCTTTCGAAAATTACTTGCTTGTGTTCGGGTAGAAGAAAAGGCTGTAGATCCGACGGTATTCTGCATGAATTTGGTTGAAAGGCAGGGAAGGTTACCCTTATGCAATAAGGGTTAACATGATAATATACCGACGAAATATCTGGAGATGTGTGTTGACGTCCTTTTTTTAAATACTGACGGCGAAGTCGTGTTGTCCAGAAGGCACTTCGGAGAAAATAGGAACCCTTATTCAGCCGTAATAAAAAAAGCTTTACGCTTCAAAAGAGGTCAAAGAATATGCGCTTGCATCACAGGGCAAATCCTGCCGACCAGAAAACAATAACTACAGTCAATCGATATATATGTCATGACCTCTCAGTGTGAAACATGCGGCTAAAACCACATTTGCTCAGTAAAATGCAGAACCTTCCAGAGCATAATCTACCCAGCAGATAAAAACAACTTCATTGGAATAAGCAGCATTTTGGCATGAGGTAAAAGTCGTGTAGGCCTACCACCCCCCTTTTATTGCCCCCGAGCTACAACCCAGCGGGGGGATGTGTACTCGAAACGTTCATGACGGGGGTCTGACTTTATTTATTTTATTTTATTTTTTTTTTTTAGGGGGATTAGAAATGTGGGGTTAGAAATGTGGACTCCCGGAATTTTTTTACAAATTTTGAGTCCGCGTTTTACAAATTTTTGAGTCCGCGTTTTACAAATTTTTGAGTCCGCGTTTTACAAATTTTGAGTCCGCGTTTTACAAATTTTGAGTCCGCGTTTTACAAGTCCGCGTTTTACTAGTCCAGTCCAGTCCAGTCCAGTCCAGTCCGCGAAATACAGTATGCCTTTTCACACCCCGTAGCTAACATTAAAAGGTTTTAGATACTTCCTGTTGTGTATGATAATTTCAAATGGCTCTTAAATTAAATGCCATACTTGTGTGCCCTATTCTAAAAACTCTTAACCACTTTGATGGGCTTAATCGGTACCTTTTTCGCCCCCTAAATTGTCTGAAACGCGATCGCACGCGTCAAATTGATTTAATAATTTATAGCAAGTTAAGGCAACTTACTACTTCCCTTTGAAATTAGAATTTTTTACTGGAGAGAAATGTGAAATACGTACTCAATTAAGAGTGTTTGTGACAGAGGAAAGAGTATGAATTGTAATTAACAACAAAAGTGATGCAAAGATAAAAGCGCTTAGGATATTCATAAATAGACCGCAAGCTACGACGACTCGGAACTTCCCAAAGTTGGCTTCCGCGTAGATATAAATGCGCGATACAGGTTATCAAACCGGAATGAAGAAATTGAGTACTGAAACGATAGTGACCGCAATTTAAAATTAACGGCTCTAAAGGGTCCGTCATGGTAAATAGCTGGAATAAGTAAGTAAAGTATGACTTCAAAGGACTTTTCTTCGACAATTCAACGAAAACATTATAACAATCGCGTGAAGATAAACGTCAGTGGTACGGTGTTTGAAACGATGGAAGAAACACTATCAAGATTTCCTGACACTCTTTTGGGCTGTCCTAGAAGGCGCATGAAATATTTCGATGAACGACACGACGAGTACTTTTTTAATCGCAACAGACTGGCTTTTGACGCAATTCTCTTCTATTATCAGTCGTATGGGAGGTTGGTCCGACCCGATGTAGTGCCAGAAAATGACTTTTTCGACGAAGTGCGCTTTTTTCAAATACAAAGCGACGAAGTTTCAGCTCGTGCAAGGATTGAGCGCGCACTTGTGGGAAAGGACGAAGAGTTACCGCAGAATTTCATACAACGCAAAATTTGGTTACTTTTTTCTAAACCGGAATCATCGTACGCCGCCAAAGTGCTCGCTGTTATATCTGTAATTATCATACTTCTATCATTCGTTATTCCTTGGTTCGAATCGTCGGAAAGTGACAGTAGCGTCGCGGACAACTCAATGGTCTTGCAAAGGATGGAGATGGCTTGTTATATTTGGTTCACCTTTGAGCTATTGATTCGGTTTGTCAGTGCACCAAAAAAACTGCGATTTTTTCTCTCGATGCTCAACATTGTCGACATCGTTAGTATATTTCCGTATTACGTTCTTTTAACAATGCAAGTTGCTCGAGCTCCGTTATCTGTTTTGCGAGCCGCCAGGATGCTTCGTATTTTAAGAATATTTAAACTCTCTCGATACTCAAGTGGCATGCGAATTTTACTGTATACATTTGCCACGAGTATGAAAGAACTGGGCATGTTTCTTATCTTCATTTCTATTAGTATGGTGGTTTCAGCCAGTGCGGCGTATTACGCGGAAGTGGGCGACGGAAACGTTGCATTTACTAGCATTCCTGATGCGCTGTGGTGGTCTGTTAATACCATAACTACAGTTGGTTATGGTGATCAGTATCCCTTAACAGCCACCGGCAAAATGGTTGGCTGTTTGTCAACTGTGTTTGGATGTCTAGTGATCGCTCTGCCAGTCTTCCTTTTTGTCGCGAATTTCAGAAAAGTTGTTAGTGTGAACAGGGCGTCTGATGGAAAAAGGATGTGATCACAGGAGTGCGAGTCTGAACTAGCTCTTGTTACAGTTTCAAAAAAGTTGTCAGTGTGAACGGGGCAGCTGATACGAAAAAAGGATGTAATTACAGGAGAACGAGTCTGATCTTATTCACCATTCCTTTTTGGCCAAAAAAAATTGTTTGTTGACCTAAAGGCCATTGAACATTTTTTCCTTTGATCGATAACTTAATTACAAACCCTTGATGGCTCGTGCCGGGAGGCTATATGGGCCTTTAATTGTGCCTATTTTTCACCTGATAAGAGCATATTACTTCAGTTTTTAAGTACTCAAAAGCGCATTCGGTTTATGTGTTCAGCATCGAAGAAAAGTATTTAAAATCGTTCCACAACAGGGAAAATGAGGTGTGCTGTTTGGTGTTGGCAAGTTTGACCAGGACCTGGCAAGTTTGGCCTGTGAGCCTGAAATGGATTCCCCTTTTCCCTTACACGTAACTTAAAATATCTCTGTTTTCAAGGCATCTGGCCAAATCTGGCTTTTAACCTAACTGGTCCGTCATCAACGAATAGAGAAAAATGTGAAATTCTGATATTTGTGCTCCCATCTCTGAAACTAATACCCCTCAAAATAATTGATGATCTTTTCATTGCCTGACTTAATAAGGACGAAGAAACTAAACTATAGAGTAACTAGAGTAACCCTTTTGGATTCACATACTTGACAATCTGTTGAACACTGCTAATTTTCTAAAGTCGACATTAGTGGAAGTCTAATGCAATTGTTTTTCGTAAAACTGTAAGTCTTTAACTGGTTTGGTTCCAAATAATCAATTGCAGCGTAATGTAAATCAATGGATGTGTTAAAAGAAGAAGAATAAAGTACTGAACTTTTAACTCAGAACGAATCAAAGTCGCCCACCATATACTTCATCTTGTTTACTTTTACGAGGGGCGCCCCCCCTACCGTTAAGAGATTTAGACTGCAAGCAAGAATAAGGAGAAAAGTCTCGAACGAGAAGCTTGCTTTCAGCTCGCTTGACCTGCATGAGACTTTCTTTTCAGTCCGTTGACCTACTACTGTATTCAAAATAGAGAGCTTTCTCTACTATTGAATATAAACATTAAACAGAAGACTTTAGAGCAGCTGTCCTTTTACTATTTTCATTCACTAAAATTTCAATTCAACTTCAGACATGTCAGAGCAAAACTGGACAAAATTTCTACCGATTTCAAAGAAAAACTGAACCACAACATGTGAGCCCCACGTAAGTAAACTCCCGCCTAGTCCCTGTACGGCGTTTTCCCAGTCCCTATAGGTCAATTCACTTTGGCCGCGCGGAAAAATGAGGCCTAGGGACTAGGCAAAGTAAATTCCATGTATTTTGTATTTGTCTACACCCTGCTTCTGCGAGCGTCAAGTCGGAGTCGTTTTGCCGCGATGTTAGGAAGTTGAAGACGCCACGAAGGCGACAGCCCTAGCCACGAAGGTGTCACTTAAAAAGTGAATTTGCGTTCTTTCAATCTCTATCGCGATTACTCCATTCATTTACTTTGCCAAATGTAAGCGAACTCTTTTGAGGTGAATTCCTAAGAACCATATTCCAGTTCAGAAAGAGAAAGAAAATTTAGCCGTCGCTTGTTTATGTCCTCCATGAAACGTGAAATAAGGCATTTTCAGTCTGTCTTAGTCGTGCAGTGACGGCAAAGAAATGTACAAAAAAGCGTGATGCACGTGTAGAGTTGTTGTTTTCGTTGTCGTCTTAGTCCCTGTTTTAATTTTGTCGGCGCCGATGTCACAACGTTTTGGGCATCCCCATTCCCAAATCCCTAGCGTTTTGGGCATCCCCGGTGGGGGATGCCCAAAACGCTGATCGCTTCGACTTTGCCTAAATTATTTCAGACTGGGGAAAAGTCGGGATTGTCAATCACGAATTTACGGCTGAATAGTGTAGATGCATGTTAGAATTATATCGTCTGACACTTTCCGCCGGGTTTATTGCGCAGAAAAAAACCCATAGGCAGTAAACGCTGGCTCAAAACCGGACGAAACTGAAATTTACAACCGCATAACATCCCTTCGCTGTACAACGCTTCATTGTTTGCAAAGCTTCAATTTTATTTAATAGAACTGTTTACCAGCGAGAAATGCCGCAATCGCCGGCAGCTGCGATCGTCTGATTCCAAACAGCCAAAAACAAGAATACTACACAAAACAATCAAAAGACAAAGATGAATAAAACTGCGTTTTGCGGTGTTGAATTCATAGTATACAGGACATTTGAGGCCTGTACAACTTAACCCCGCAGCGCTACTTGACACACAAAAGGCTGTCACACAATTTATACAGAGGCCTCTTGCACCTACGGGACAGAAGAAATCTGTTGCCGTTTTGAGATGTAGTAGGCGCTTCTATTAAATCAATTCCGACTGAGTACCCCACCTTGGGAACAACCTTCACCCAAAAGTATTATCGCGGCCGGCGTGTCCAGAAAGAGGAGCAGAGTGGCACTCTTCGAAGACCCTCGCTTTCTCTTCCTCGGTGAACAATTCATCGAAGCGCTGTGCCATCCTTCTCCTTGGCCACCTAGAACAAGGACTTTAATTTTGAGTCATACTCGAACTTTTTGGCAAATTTCGGAGAGTCGTTTTTTTGCTTTGTAAAGCCTTCCGGATAAGCCTTATTTTTAAGACACTGGAAAAGATTTCTATATTTAGCGGAAGCCATCTCTAAAACGTTTTCGATTTTCCCGCGAAATCCAGCATTTTTTTTGGAGGGGATGACCAAAACACTAGCGATTTGGACATCCCGGGAGGGTACCGGGGGATGCCCAAAACGCTGCAGTAATATGAGAGGGGGATGCTCAAAACGCGGGGATGCCCAAAACGCTATGACCGACTCGCCGCGTCTTTGGTCTCATACCCAGTCTTCGCTCGTTTTGTATAAGGAGGCTTGGATGCTGAGCGGAAATTAGTTCAGTTTTCTTTCTCGTGTGCATCATTTGTGCTTTGAAAGCGTGATCATTATTAGCGTGTTTTTCTGAGCCGAGAAGAAGGCTAGGCAGTTTCTTAAACTCTTAGAGAACCCTTCTTTTGAGAAAGAATGGGAGATAATGTCGTTGATCCGTTTGAGGATGTCGATTCCGAGGAGGAACTTGAAAAACCGCCGACACCTGAGATCCATCATGGGGGTGATTCTCCCGAAGCTCCTGCAGCATTTAGCGATATTTCTGACAACGAACGGGAAGAAGCGAGAGAAGACGAAGCCGTGATGAAGCCGCATGAAGAAGCTAGCGAAAAAGCAAGTGAAAATGATGAAAATACTTCTAGCGCACAAGAAGAAAGCAAAATTGAGAGCAGTAAAGTGGAAGTAACACAGCAAGAAGGTAGTCCACTTTATGACCAAGAAATTTCTCCTGTTTCGTCAACAGCTGAACGGGAGGAAGAGGACGTAGATGCGTCTTTAAAAGGAGATAAGGACGTTCCCATGAACGAAGGAGAACGTTCGGAAATCATCGAAAGAAATTCCACAGAGTTAACGCGAAGTAAACAAGAATCTTCATTAGATAGTGCGGAAGGGAATGATGAAGCTTCACGTGAAACAGCTATTGCTAGCGAAGCAACTGAAGAAAAACGCGAAGAACAAACTTCTGGAAACACAGCTGAGAGACGCCGTAGAATTTCTTCAAGTGCAGGGACCGATGATGATTTAGATATGCCTATTTCTCCTCTTGGACTCGGACTTTCAGGGACAGAATCAGAAATTGTTGATGATATTCTTAAGAGTGACGTTTCTAAACTTCTTCCAGACGTTAAAGAAGATCCCAGAGAAGAGTCAACAGGTATAATGTGTGATCATTACCCCACCATCTCTCACAATTTAGCAGCCATAGTGGCACTATGGTTGCTCAACTGAGGGAGGCAAATAACTTTTTTGTCTATGGTGACTGTGGTTGACGAGAGGGACACGAAAGTTTGGCTAATTCAAGTGATTTCAAAAAATGTGTGCTTTTAAGCCATTAAGTCCCAATATCAACATGCATATTCTCAACACTGTTCATCACACATTTCTTATGGTTCTGCTTGAGAGGATATTGTTAGAAGGCTTTAGATTCGAGGACGAATTTTCTTGCCTATCCTCTAAATATAGACACCCCAGAAAGCTTTATTGTATTTTTTTTCACCACAAGAGTTATTTCCATTGAAGGAGGTAAAGCCCTCACCCGATTGCTAAAGGATAAAATTCCTAACATTTGATAACTTGCTTTCACCACTACTACATTCTTGCTAAAACTCGTAGTAGAATGACAATGGCCATCACATTTTCCCACCAAACTGATGTTGGTTTGAGTCAGTGCACTACTTAGTATTGGGAAAATCTCATTCCTGTAGTTGTCCTTGTCTTAGAATCTAAAGCTCTCTATTATTGTTTAAACATTAAGATACTTCATCTTTAGTGATTATTTCACTCATTTTAATGACCTGTATGTTTGATCAGCCAGTATTTTGTTGTTTGAGGAGAAATAATTAGATGCTGGTTACTACTGGGACTTCAAGGGTTGCATTTCACAGGGGTTTCATTGCAGTAGCAGGAGAATAGAAAAGAATGTAATAATGTGCCCAGGGTTGTCAAAAGTAGCGGGCTGCTGGCGAAAATCGCCGCCTACTTGGTTAGTATTTGCCGGCTATTCTGCGTGGCATTTCTTTACAGATGACGTTATTTAAATAAAATATCCCTGGACTGGCCACTTACTTTGATAACTCAGCCGTCTACTTCAGTACTTTCTGACAACCCTGTGTGCTGTTTTAGAAGTCATCATTAAATTAGAAATTAAAATCTCAAAATTTGCATTTGCTTCATAGTAATTTGATACTCTATCATTTATATATGGTAAACATCACCAAATTTTTGTGGCAAGAAGGGTGTTGCAGCTTTGGTGGAAAACACCCTCCATGATCTGCATATTCTTCATACAAGAATAATTCATACTTGTTTATACAAAAGCCTAACTCAGTGATGATTATTGTGTTCTTCATTCAACCAAAATATCACTTTTTAGGTAAAAGAGATGATGAAGAAGAAACCAAAGAAGACAAAGAATCAACTGAGGCTGAACCAACAGTACAGGATGAAGAAGGGTAGGCATTATCAGTCATCACCATTGTCATTCTTATCATTCCACAGGGTTTTTAACAATACTTAAAAGTGTTAATGATATATGAAAATAAATCATATATGAACTGCAGAAATGAAATGAAAATGAAGTCAGTGGCTTCATAGCTCAGTTGGTAGAGCATCACACCGGTAAATTGTGTGGTCACGGGTTCAAACCCTGTTGAAATTTTTTTCAGGCTTCTTTACGCAATTATGAAATTGCATTCACTGCGGCGATCATTTCTTCATTTTCAATACTTCAAAGTACCCAGCAAATCCTCTAGGGTAACACACATATCATAATTATTATTTCTTTAACGCCATCAGCTGTGACATAAGCAGCAAAGGTCTATAGTCCTTATTCTCTTCTTTACCATCTTGTTTCTTTTATTTATGTCTTCTAAAGGCTGGTTTAGATGGTACAATTTTTGCTAACGACTATCGTGCATGACTAGTATATCTCATGACTTCACGTCAGATCATGTCCTGTAAATTAGACCCATGAGATCCGTACTTAAGGCACATGTAGATGTCATAAGTGAAAATTGTGCGTGTTTGCACGATAGTTGTAAGCATAAGTCGTACTGTCTAAATCAGCCTTCACATTTTGGCCATCACAGAAAATAGTAGGAAAGGCTTAAAATCTGAATCTATGATATCCAGGGTGCCCAATGGACAAAAGTAAGTTGCTAGGAGCCATTGGGCACTTTAAGAGCACAGCCTTGAAGTCCACATGTCTACGAGGTCTTGGCAAGGAAAGTGTAATACTATGATCACACCTTACAGTGTAATTAATTAATCATTAATCGTCATTTAGGTTTGAGTCCGATGAAGAAGCTGGTGATCAACTGATTGCTGATATTTTTGGTGCCAGTGATGAGGAAGAAGAGTTTGTGGTAAGATGATAAACTGTTTTATTAGCTGCTCTTTCCACTGTTAATTAAAGTTATTGCCCTAAATGTTTTTAAATAGACCATGCAAGTTTATTTTTAGATGTGAGAAACTTTTTCCAAAACATGGTCAGGAGCAATTCAGTACATCATCTCTTGTTGAGACTATTACTAGTGGGTGACCATGGCCAGTTCCTAGAGAGATGTTTGGTGTAAATACTGTGTATATGTAAAAGACATAAAAATGACAGAAGAACTGCAGGGACCAGCTTTATAATTAGGTACATGACATCTGTTAAAGGGAGGTGTCCACAAGGTTTTTAAAACAACTGGTAGCTGACAGATATCACCATCTACATGCATGTGTTTGTGTCTTTTGTCAGCCACCCAGCTGCTGGGCTGCTCCTGAGATTCTAAAAGTAAAAGATAGCAAAATCAGTCACTCACTTCAACAATAACACAGCAAACTTCAAAACTGTTTTGTCAATGCTGTGTTCAATCACATCTTATAAAGGCCTGTGTTCTTTCCCAAATTGACAACATGACAACAACGTGAATACATCGTCAAGAGAAAAGTATATGAGAAATGATGACAAAAGAGAAAATTTGTTGATCTTTTATTACGTTGTAAATTCTCTCAGTTTATTTTATTAAGGAAATGTACAGTAATTTTGTTACAAATAGTTATGGTGAGTCCCGGGACTCATCTTGTGAAAAATCATGAGTCCCAGTCCAGAACCAATGAGTCCCAGTTAAAAAAAAAAAAAATGTAACCCAGGGCGCCATGGTGGAAGAAAAAGTCCTTTATGTTTTTAACAAATTCGGGAAGAATCAGTTAATTTCTGGGAGTTTTCGGGCAAACTTCACCAATAAGATTTTTTTCAAAAATTTCTTTTGCTTTAAGACCAGCATGTTTAACGTTTTTCTAACAGAGGTCATCATTTGCTGAAATTAAAATATAGTCCCAGTTTTTGCAACTTAATCTATTTACATTTCAGTGACGAAGTTCCAAGATAAATTTGCAAGTTTACGGCAAGTAAATAGCCCCTATCGCTGAAATAAGTTTCAGATATGTTGTAAAGACATGTATTTGATAAGATTTCTACCGAATCTCACGATATTTTTCATGTTTTTGTGAATTTCGCGGCTCTGCGACCACACGAAATATCAGAAGCCCTGGTAACCAGACAGTTAATCTGGAGGCAGATCCCAAAACTCTTTATTTCAGTCTACTGAAATTAAGATATTGTAGTCCTTCTATAAAACAAATATGCCTCTTTAAACAACAGCCACAGAAATCACACGAACAGAATATTCTACGAAAAAATCTTCAAATCAATCGTTCTTTGCCTCCTAAAGACCCGTGCCATGAAT